AGAAAAGAAGTGATATTGTTTATTCTAAAAATAAATGAAGAATAAAACAGAGAAAGAAATAAATTATTTGAATGTTTATTCATTTATTTATTTATTTATTTATTTATTTATTTATTTATTTATTTATTTATTCTTTCATTTATTTATTTATTTATTTATTTATTTATTTATTTCCAATGAGAGCCGTTGGCCTTATAATCGGGTGTCTGCGGAGACACCTGAAATCGCAGAGGCAGGCCACAGAAACAAAAGTATAATTAAAAGCAAAATGCTTTTTACAAACCCTAAACCCTAAACCCTAAACCCTAAACCTCTAATTCAGGACCCAGTGCAGCAGCAGCAGCAGCAGCAGCAGCAGCAGCACCTGTTGGGGCCCCCCTGAAGAGGACAAGAAAGAGGGCCCCTTGAGGGGCCCCCTGTGGGGCCCTACAGGGGGGCCCCTGTGGGGCCCCCCATTGGAAAGGGGCCCCCTGTTGGGGCCCCATTGAACGGGGCCCCACAGCGGGGGCCCCCTTGGGGCCCCCTTAGGGGCCCCCTTTGGGGGCCCTCATTGCACAGGGGCCCCACAGGAGGGCCCTTACGGGCCCCCTGTGGGGCCCCCCATTGCAGAGGGGCCCCACAGGAGGGCCCCCCTAGGGGCCCCCTTAGGGGCCCCCATGTGGGGCTCTCTACCCTCTGTGGGGCCCCACAGGGGGGGCCCCCAAGGGGCGCCACAGGGGGCCCCCCTTGGAGCCCCACAGGGGGGCCCCCTAGGGGCCCCCATAGGGGCCCCCCTTGGAGCCCCACAGGGGGGCCCCCTAGGGGCCCCTGTAGGGGCCCCCTGTGGGGCCCCAAAGAGGGTAGAGAAAGAAAGTAAAAGTTTTCTTTTTATCTTTTTGTCTTTTTTGCTGTTGGGTTTTAAATAGGAAGTTCTGTCTTGGAGAAAAAGAAGTACACAAACGTAATTAATTAATTATTAATTGATTAATAAATCAATTAGTTAATTAATTAGTTAATTAATCAGTTAATTAACTAATTAACTAATAAATCAATTAGTTAATTAATATATTTATTTATTTATTTATTTACTTATTTATTTGCTTGTTTGTTTATTTATTTGTTAATAATTCTTTTGTAGTTCATTATTTCGTAGATTGATATTTCCTCTGGCTATTACATTGACATGTTGTTATGGGCAATTAATTTAAAGATTTAAAGAATAATTAAACAAACAAATAAACAAATAAATAAATAAATAAATAAATAAATAGTAAATAAATAAATAAGTAAATAAATAAATAAATAAATGGGTAAGTAAATAAATGAATAAGCAAGTAAATGAATGTTAAATAAATAAATAAATAAATAGCTAAACAATTGAATAAATAACTAAACAAATTAATTAGTTAATTAACAAATAAATAAACTAATTTACAAATAAAACTAAAAAAATAAATAAAGGAATGCAGCAGCAGGAAGCCAACATAATTCTAGGGGCCCCCAAGGGTACCTTCAGGGGCCCCCAAGGGGCCCCCAAGAGGCTTTAAAGGGCCCCCTGGGGGGGCCCCAAGAAAAAGTATATTTGGGGGCCCCCAAGGGGGCCCCAACGGTCCTTTTAGGGGCCCCCAAGGGGCCCCCAGGGGCCCTTTTAGGGGGCCCCAAGGGGCCCCCAGGGGCCCGTTTAGGGGCCCCCAAGGGGATCCCAAGGGTTCTTTTAGGGGCCCACAAGGGGCCCCCAAGGGTCCTTTTGTTGGGCCCCAAGGGGCCCCCAAATGGTACCTTTAGGGGCCCCCAAGAGTGTCTTCAGGGGCCCCCAAGGGTACCTTTAAAGGACCTTCTTGGGGCCCCCAAGTGTACCTTTTGGTCCCTCGGGGGCCCCCTAGTGTACCTTTTGGTCTATTGGGGGCCCCCAGGGGCCCTTTTAGGGGCCCCCAAGGGTACCTTTAGGGGGCCCCCAGGGCCCTCTGAAGGGCCCCCAAGAGATTATAGTTTTGGGGGCCCCCTATGGGGCCTTTAGGGGCCCCCCAAAGCTGCCTTTTAGGGGCCCTTAGGCTGCCCTTTGGGGGCCCCCATGGGTACCCTTAGGGGCCCCCAAGGGTACCTTTAGGGGCCCCCAAGAGTGCCTTCAGGGGCCCCCTAGAACTGCCTTTAGGAGGCCCCAAGGGGTACCATTGGGGGCCCCATGGATATCTTTAGGGGCCCCCAAGGGTACCTTTGGGGGCCCCCAAGGGTACCTTTAGGGGGCCCCCAAGGGTACCTTTAGGGGGCCCCCAAGGATACCTTTGGGGGGCCCCAAGGGTACCTTTGGGGGCCCCCAAGGGTACCTTTGGGGGGCCCCAAGGGTACCTTTGGGGGCCCCCAAGGGTACCTTTGGGGGGCCCCAAGGGTACCTTTGGGGGGCCCCCAAGGGTACCTTTGGGGGGCCCCCAAGGGTACCTTTGAGGGGCCCCCAGGACTGCCTTTGGGGGCCCCACGGGGTATCG